TTAATGTGGAGGCCGCTTTGAAACTGTTGGTCAACAGCAGGCTAATCCTCTTGGCTTTTTATAGTTCAGTTACTGCTTTTATGGAATTTTAATTCTTTGGGCTGGCAGATTTGATTGTCTTCTTAGTGGTCTTTTCACTAAAAGGCTGTGAATTTGATATCTTTAGGAAGACTGAAATAAATTCCTAGATACTTCAAGACCTTGTTGGTTTCAATCGGGACATTCTGGTTTTTCCAGTTATACCAGTGCTGTGTTTCATGAATACAATCACTTTTATTTAAGAATATCTAATTTCCAACTTTCCATTCTGCCTTCTGGTGCTTTGGAGAACAGGCTTATTATTTTCATAAACAACTCAAGGTGAACATATCTAATGCTCCTTCCTCCTCCTACTTTCCCCACAACGACAAACCTGTGATTTGAGTTGGGCTGAGAGATGGACTGGCCCAAGGTCACCCAGCTGGCTTTTATGGCTAAAGCCGGACTTGAACGCACCGTCTCCCGGTTTCATGCAAAAAGTCCATAAAAGGTTTCCGGTCAGCTGTAAATGTAAATGTTAACTTTTCATCAATCACAGATATTAATTTCTCCTTCTCTGCAACTTCCATCTTATTTAGCAACTATTGCTCCATTGTAGGTAGTGCCAAAGCTGTTCATTTTTGAGCATATAACAATCTCTCTGCAGTTGTCATGTATAAAAACAAAATTCCGTGTTTTTCCCCCCCAACTGTTTGGCCATCAATCCCCAAAACATTCTAGCTGGGGAATTCTGGGAGTTGAAGTCCACCCATCTTAATATTGCCAAGGTTGAGAAATATTGTTGTAGAGTGTCAAGGCCTGAGATGGAGAGATCTGGCTATAGGGGAGGATTGAAATAATGGGTAGGGATCATCATCAGATCCTGGTTGATGTTAGGATGTCCCATTCATCCAGTTTTGGTCACCAGGATGTAAAAAAGATGTTGAGTCTCTAGAAAGAATGCAGAGAAGAGCAACAAAGATGTTTAGGGGACTGGCGGCTAAAACATATAAGGAACGGTTGCTGGAATTGGGAATGTCTAGTTTAATGAAGAGAAGGACGAGGGGGGGCATGATAGCAGTGTTCCAGTATCTCAGGGGCTGCCACAAAGAAGAGGGAGTCAAGCTCTTCTCCAAAGCGCCTGAAGGCAGGACAAGAAGCAACGGATGGAAACTGATCAAGGAGAGAAGCAACCTAGAACTAAGGAGAAACTTCCTGACAGTTAGAACAATTAACCAGTGGAACAACCTGCCTCCAGAAGTGGTGAATGCTCCAACACTGGAAGTTTTTAAGAAGAGACTGGACAGCCATTTGTCCGAAATGGTGTAGGGTTTCCTGCCTGAGCAGGGGGTTGGACTAGAAGACCTCCAAGGTCCCTTCCAACTATTCTGTTCTGTTCTGTTCTATGCTAATGTACAGGAAGTCCTTTACTTACGGCCACAACTTACGGGTTGGACTAGATGACCTCCAAGGTCCCTTCCAACATCATTATTATTATTATTATTATTATTATTATTATTATTATTATGGATCATCGCATCATCATTATTATTATTATTATTATTATTATTATTATTATTATTATTATTATTATTATTATTATTATTATGATGATGATGATGATGATGATGGATCATCGCACAATCAGCCAGATGTTCAGACTGGATTTGGCATTTTGTCTACCTATTGAGTCCTTATCACATCTGTTAGATCAGTGGTTCTCAACCTTTTTAATGCTGCGACCCCAACCGGTCGTAAGTCGAGGACTAAACCGGTCGTAAGTCGAGGACTACCCAACCGGTCGTAAGTCGAGGACTTTCCCTGCCCGGGAGTGCCGCGCATGTGTGGTTCCGCCCCCTGCGCTGGCCGAGGTGTAGCTGGCAAGCGGCAGAGACGGAGCAGGCCGACCACCAGCTGGCCCAGCCCAAGGGAGGTAAGGCACCCACCGGAAAAGGGGGAAAAAAATGGCGGACAAAAAAAATGGCGGACAGCCTTGCTTGGCGACCCCCATGAAATGGTCGATCGACCCCAAATGGGGTCCCGACCCACAGGTTGAGAACCACTGTGTTAGATGGTATTACAGATATTGTCGCAGGATGGATATCTGTATTATTATTATTATTATTAATAATAATAATAATAATAATATAATAATAATAATAGTAATTTGAATAAAAACAAGGGAAAAGTAAGTATTGATTAGCAAGATTAGCAGGTCCCAAATTTCAGTGTTGTGGCTAATGCCAGGGAAATCCAAGCAGTAGGTTAGATAAGTAGTCATGCAAATGGGAGAAGATTAGAACATGACCACATTTCTGGCTAGAATGGCTTGAAGAGAGAAAGAGGTGTAGCCCTTTAATTCTATAGACTCCTCTTCCCAGTTTCTGGCAATCTCATACTTTCTAATCGGGGAAACAAAGGCAAAATTCCTCTGCTTGGCAGGCCAGCCAGGTGTGTTCAGGAGAGGAACTGAATAATGTGCGATGTAGGCAAATGTCAATCCGTAGTAGATACCTTCAGAGGTGGCCCAGCATGGTCCATTAAGTTCTGGGCAGGCTGGCTTGAGTGGGGCTCTTCCATGCAGGAAGGAAGAATCAAGACCCTTGGATTGTAGGAAGTCTCCACTTGTTCAGGTTGGATTCTGCTTCTGGGCAGCTATTTGATCGTATATTCTGTAAATTGGTGATTTATTAAGAATTAGTTGTATGGCAACGCATCATCTGGGCTGGTAGACAGAGCTAGCTGTTCTATTCAGTGGGCTGGAAGGAGAGCAGAATGGCTATGCTTTTCAGACATATTTTTAGTGATTTCCAGGGATTAAAAGAGGGTCTATCAACCAACAGCCGCTTGGCTGAAGCTGGACAGATTAAGGCAGAATTATCACGTAGATTCAGCTGAGCTTCTTTTGAACGAGGCTCTAATCTTTGTTTCATAGCAGCCGGTGTCCTCCATGGTGCTTACATAAAGGAATTCTCTCCAAAAAACTCTTCTGGGAGATCCCTCGGCCTTGAGAAGGTTAATAATTCTTTAGTTAAATCTTGATTGCAAGGGCTGAAGTTACTACCTGACTTTGAAGTTAGTGCCAGTGAGTCTTTGCCAAACACCATGATTTAAGTTAGGCAATTATGGCTTAAGGGTCAGTTGAGGGGGAATTCCCCTCTCCCCCCCCCCAAGCTATGGGCTGGAAAGATTTGAACGAGTTCCCAGATTTTTCTCATTTTAACTACAGGCAAAGTCCTTCCATTGTAACTATAGACAGAGAGACGTTGGGCTGCCACTTCCAGTTTGGCTCCAGGGATAATATAAAGCAATTTTCAACTTTCTCCTGCTGAACAAAAGTTTCTCTAAAGAGGCTTTGGCCAATAAGTCGATAAAGTGAACAGGATCTTGAGGACCCAAAGGTGCTTTTTCAGGAGGCAACTGGACTTTCTTGTTTTTCTTTGAAGACGTTTTGCTTCTCCTCCAAGAAGCTTCTTCAGCTCTGACTGGATGGTGGGTAGTCAGAGCTGAAGAAGCATCTTGGATGAGAAGCGAAACATCTTCAAAGAAAAACAAGAAAGTCCAGTTGCCTCCTGAAAAAGCACTTTTGGGACAACCATGGCCTGGATGGCTGAGAATCTCCATAGGATCTTGAGGACCTTGTTTCTGGCCTAGAGATGTTTGATGAAGAAGCCTAAGGTGCCAGATGTTTTTGCTAACATCTGGAACCCACTCCTTTCCCCCCACGTTTGCCATATACTTGTGTAAGTAGATATCTGCCTCTGGAGAATATCTTAAGAGATTTAGGGGTCTCAGGAGAATTGGTGCTGGGACCCTAGTTTTCCTTGCTTAGAATGCAGTCGAAAGGTCTGGATCTGAAATGGTATGTGGAAATGACCTTGGGAGACAGCAAAGGGAACAGTCAGATAGAAGGTACCTTAGCCTGCAGTAGAAACGTGGATGGGGAAGAGACTCAGAAGACCCTCCCTAGCTGTGCGTCTGTAAATGTGGGGAGAAAAACTACAGGTAGTCCTTGACTTACAACCACAACTGAACCCAAAATTTCTGTTGCTAAGCAAGACAGTTGTTGAGTGAGTATTGCCCCATTTTACGACCTTGCTTGCCACAGTTGTTAAGTGGACCACTGCAGTTGCTAACTTAGTGACACGGTTGTTAAGTGAAGCTGGCTTCCCCATTGACTTTGCTCATCAGAAGGTCACAAAACGTGATCACATGACCCCAGGACACCACAACCGCCATAAATGTGAACCAGTGGCCAAGCATCCGAATTTTGATCACGTGACTATGGGGATGCTGCAAGAGTCGTAAGTGTGAAAAGGGGTCATAAGTCACTTTTTTCGGTGCCGTTGTAAGTTTGAATAGTTACTAGATGAATCGTTGCAAAGTGAGTGCTGTCAGACTTACCAGATTCTATTAATGTAGAGTTAGAATAAAATAGAATTCTAATCATGGTTCTGTCTGTCTATCGATCTTACAAATCTGAAAGTACTTTTCTCTCCCTCTGTCCCCTTTGCAGCCCCAAAACTAGCGAGGGTCTCTTCTGAGTCTTGCCCCACCCACATTCCCCCCCCCCAGTGGGCTCAGCTGCCTTTTATGTAACCATTCCCAGTTGCATTTCTTTGCCCGTTCTCCCAAGGTTATTCCAACATACCATTGCGGGATCTTCTAAAGCAGTAGTGCTCAACCTTGGCTGCTTTAAGACGCATGGACTTCAACTCCCAGCATTCCCCAGCCGGCAACACCAACTGAGGAGCTCTGGGAGTTGAAGTCCACGCGTCTTAAAGGGGCCACGGTTGAGAAACGCTGTTCTAAAGAATCGCCACTTTTCAGTATATTGTCTTGATGCTCTTTCTCTTTTCTTCCCCATTCCCTTTCCTTTTTCCTTTTTTTTTCTTCAGAATTGTCACGATGCTTCGGTCAAAAGATACGAAAGAGGAAGCAGCCATGAGATCATTGGTCTTCACTTAACGACGCAAGCCAGAATGGCCGCTGTAGAAGCTGCCGGCATCGGTGAGAATCCCGGGGCCAAGTCCCTCTTGGTCAAAGATGGAAAAGAGTCCCAGGAGGAAAATGGGGCAGCCAGCCACCTCTCCGAACACTGCGATGCTTCCTTCGCTGGGGCAGAGCTGAATCGGCAACAGGCGCCCGCCAGCAAGCTGAAGAAGACGGCCTTTAAGTTCTTCGGGGGGAAGAGAAGCATCTGCACCCTGCCCAGCTTTTTTGGGGGGAAGAATAAAAGCCAGGCCAAGGGAGCCTCCAAAAAGGGTCTGAGCAAGAGCAAGACCCACGATGGCATCAGCGACGTGGCGCACGAAGAGGCCGCTTCCGGGTGTCTCAGGAGCCCCTCGGACGGAGGGCCAGACTTCCCTCCTCCCCAGCTTCTGCCAAGTTCCCAGAGCGCAGTTTTGGGGGCCGAGCTCAGAGTTGGCTTTGCCCAGCCCTCAAACTTTCTGTCCAGCAGCACCGAAGGCTTTGAGAAGAAGCTGACGGGAGAGAAGTTCCTCCCGAGATCCAAAAAGGGGCTCAAGGGACTTTTTAATAGCATTCGCCGACATCGGAAGAACAAAGTTGCGGAGCCTGAGAAGACGGAGCTGCAAGAGTGGGCTCTCCGGGACCCCGTCGCCGAAGAACAGCCAGGTGGAAATGGGCTGGGTGGGAGTCTTCAGAGGGGGACTGTGACACCAGAACGTGGGGAGAATGTCTCCGGCGATGCTGTGCCTCCAATAGCAGCCAGCCACAATGAGGCGGGAGAGATGGACCGCCTGGCCTCAAGCCCCATTCGGTCTGTCGGCGAGGCAGCCAGAGGGCCTGCATGTCCTGAAGGATCTCAAGACGGGCAGCCAAACCTGCAGGACGCCTGTGCTGACTCTGCCTACGGGGACCTCCCTGAGGCTTTTGAACCAGAGTTCCTGCAGAAGAGCCCTCCTGGCGAACCATCCGGGGAGCAACTTAGCTTGATGTTTGGGGAGGTGACCTCCCTTAAAAGCTTTGACTCTTTCACCGGTTGTGGGGATATAATTGCAGAACCAGATATCGATAGCATCACGGAGAGCTCCACCTCTGCGGAACGCAGCCGGGAGGCCGCCAAGAGGACCTCCTGTTTGGTTACCTACCAAGGCGGAGGGGAGGAAATGGCCCTGCCGGAGGATTTAGAAGAGTACCTCCAGCAGATGTGGGCAGGAGCCATCAAAGGGGATGCAGACTCTGAAACACATCTGCCGGAGCTCATAACCAAAGGTGACCTTCAGGGCATGAAGGATGCCGAGCAGGACGTTCATCTGTACCCTGAAGGAACAAGGAATGACACGGACCTTCTGACACCGCACAGCGATCAACAAGAGTCCGCTCCCAATAGCGATGAGGGCTACTATGATTCTACCACCCCAGGTCCTGAAGAGGAAACTGGTGATGGTTTAGATGAAATCAAAAAGGACCGCCTTCCAAGGGACAGCTACAGTGGGGATGCTCTTTATGAGTTTTACGAACCTGACGATGCATTGATGAGCCCGTCTCACGGGGAGGGATCCTGGTTTGATGGGAAAGTGTCCCCTTCGAAGATATTTGACCAGTTCCTGGACTTTGCTCTCCCCGATGAGAAGGACTTGATCTGGCTGATGGATCAGAAAAGTGAAGCGATGGAAGAGCAGAGGCTGGCCACCCTCCAGAAACAGCTGCTTTTTTGGGAGATGCATAGAGACCCGGCCCTGAAACACCTCCAGGAGCTTAGAAGAGACCAACATCTGAGTCCAGGGCAGCTGTCTGAATGTAAGATGCAAACAACCGGGTTAGTCGGGAAGAGCTCGAGTTGCCTTGGTTGTGAGCAAATGAATTTTTGTGCTTTGGATGAAGGTCTAAGCGGTGGAAAGAAGCTAGCGGAAAACCAAGACTGGAAAGAGAATTTCCACAAGAAGCTCTGTCCAGAAAAGCTCTGTGATAGCAGCAGCACCACCACCACGAAAGAACACAGTGGTTGCCTTATTCAGCCATCGGAGAATAGCTCAGAGCTGGACTCCAGCGGTGAACATCCGGTGTTCGAGGCTTTGGCTTCAGGAAACTCTGTGACCTGCCCGCTTTACAGAGCGCATGGCCACCCCAGCTGCTCTCCCAGAGCTGACTTTCAAGAGCCCTGCCAGGAAGGCAGCGAAGAACCAGAACCAGCGGTCAACTTCTCCCAAGCCTTGGTGGAATTCACCAGCAACGGGACTCTTTTCTCCAGCCTGTCTGAAAGCCTTCGAAGCTCCGATTCAGGCTCTGACTTCACTCAGAACTTTCCTGACCTGCCCACCATGGTGACTTTTGACATCGTCGATGTGGAACAGGAAGGGGAAGGGGAGTGCGAGGAGCATCTGGAGCTGAACACGGAGGAGGACCTGTCCGCGTCCTTCGAGGCTTTCCGGGATACTTATGACTCCAAAGCCTCCTTTGCTGAATGTGATGAGCGAATGTTTCCTGAGTACCCTCAGGTCTCTTCCCACTGGGGAGCTGCCAGCCTCCCTCGGCGTCTCAGACTTCAGGAGCTGAGTCCACCTCTGCTGGAGCCGCTGTCCGTCTGCAGGAGAAGCCGATCCCTGGACACCGAAAGTCTGGAGTTTGAGCTGGCCAGCTTGCAGCTATCCAAGAACAGTTTTAGGCCGTTTGAGCTGTGGAGCGGTTCCAAAAAGGATCCCGGTCCTCTTGGATTGGACATTGGCCTGGAAGGGGCGCCACATTCTCCGGGAGAAAGAGAAGAAGGCGTACGATTGAATGCACCCTACGGCAAGGAGGAATTTTCCTTGCCAGAAACGAAAGCAGGAGAGGCTGGTTCAAATATACTTCCCTCTCAAGGTCCTTGGGGGTTATTGGAGCGCTCTGACACAGCTCCTCCTTTGGCCTGCCTGGGGCAGAATCCCACCAAGGAACCAGCTGGAAGGAACCTTCCAGCAGATGGAAGCAATCATCCTGTCCTTCCAGCATTGAGACCATTGATCAGGCCCTCCACTCTGTTTCTGCAGGCCCCTGTGATGTCACCAGAGGGCTCTACTTCTCAGAGGCCTGGTGGGGGCAACCTGGCTAAAAAACGTGCTTGGGTCCACCCTTTGGGAGAGAAAGGCCGAGATCTGCCTTTGAGCTTTGATTTTCCTTGTTCCCCTGACAAGTCGTCAGCGTGTAAGCCTGGAGATGTGGCTCAAGGAACATCTCAGCTTCATACCAAGTAGTGCTGAGTCCACCACCTGTAGGGGCAAGGCTGGACATTGGGGAATCTCTAGATCCAGAGCCTTTGGGAGACCCTTCCTGCCAGCTAGTCAGTCCATGAACTTAATTAGCCAAGTAGCTTCTGGGCATGGGGCTCAAGCTGGATTGGAATGGGCTTTGGTTCCGGTGGGTTGTGAGGATACAGAAAAAATACTGCAGAATGTTGACTTCGGTTTGAAGCTGGGAGAACTGGGGTGAAAAGTTCTGCTGATGTTTCGCAGGCATGCTTGAGGGTAGAGGGAACTTCCGTGGCTCCCCAGAATGATATGGAGAGAACAGGGACGGTCTCAGAAGTTGAGGAGATGGGAATAAAGTCCTGGATCGTGTCCAGTTGCCCCATCATGAGAAGAGGAGCAGAAATTATTTCCAAAAGCCGACTAGGTGGCCAAAGTTAGAAGGTATATTTGGGAGGAACCTTCCAAAACGAGAGGCTTGCTTACGGTGAAACTGGTTAACTCCTAGTTTTTGAGAGCACGCGTGCTTGGAAGTCGACCTGCTAAGCTGCTTTTTATTCCAAGAGAGTAACAGGGCAAAATAGAGGGGTGCTGGCAAGCCTACCTTTCATGGTCTCCAGAACCTTCTCCAGAACGGGGTGGGGCCAATTTTCTCTTTCTTTTTTTAGCTGGGAGGAAAGTTAAGGGGCAGAATTAGTGCCTTGAGCCTTCTAAAGGCTTAGCACCCATTTCATATCCCCCTCCCCAAACAGGTCTTAGCCTAGATCATGGTTAGAATGTGGCCTTTGACCAGTGGTGCAAGGTCTAGGATAGCCTTGAGCCAACAGGCCCTCGGGATGTATAGGATTGCACCCGTGAAGCATATCTTAAGTGCGTTTACTTGTTACAGCAGCGTTTTTTCCAAGCTTGGCACATTGAAGGCGAGTGGATTTCAACTCCCAGAATTCTCAGCAATGGCTACGCTGGCTGTGGAATTCTGGGAAGTCCATATACCTAGAAATGGGCCAGGTTTGGAAACTCTGCGTTAAGAGAGTGCTGCTCAAGTTCAGTTGGGCTTTCTGTGGTTTTCTTGAGGGGGCGGGAGGCAGAAAAGTAACCAACCTGGCGCTTGTCAACTAGGAGATCAGGGTCGCAGTGGATGGGCTGGGCAAAATAGCAAGAAGTTGGCTGTTACTTAAATTGGGGCAAGATGTGATTAGAGGGGAAATGGGTCAAAAAAAGGCTCTGCGATCTGTAATCTGGGAGGATTTTACTCGGGGTATATTGCTTCTAAGAAGACCTGCATACAATTAAAAAATTAAAAACACTTCTTGATACTGGAACAAAGTAATGTCAATGCAGCGGAGGTCTTGTAACTTCTGAAAGGGCATATTTTAAACGGAGGGAGGGGGGGGAACCCCTGTGCCCTTATTTAAAGTAACAGAATCCTGGGTTTTTTTTCATTATGGTTAAATTTTAGAACTGTGCAGTGCTTCCAATTTGATTCCAAAAAGGAGACTTGGCTTGCTTGTATGTGTTGGGCTCTGTGTGTGTGTGTGTGTGTCTGTGGACCCTGTCTATAGCTCTTTCAAGATGTGCTGCCATTTTCCAGGATCAGCTGGCCATTGCAGAAGGAAGCTGTATCTGAGCTAGACAAAGGATGAAGTTGCTTTAATGAGTTAGATCCAGCCTGTGTGTGTGTATGTGTGTGTGTGTGTGTGTGCGTGCGCGTGTGTGTGCGTGCGCGTGTGTGTGTGTGTGTGTGTGCGCTTCGAAGATCATTTTTGGAATCAGATTCGAAGTACTGCCGGACTGAATATTTGTTGAAATCCATTTTCTAGGCTGTCTAGAATGGAGGGTTAATAGTAATATTGGATGCAGAGAAGCTTCTTAGGAAATAAAGCCTCCATCAGTTGTACCACTACTTGTCCCAGTTGCACATAAGAAGGATGTGTGTCTAGGGAATTGTGACATTCCAATGTGCAATTGTATTTTTTTTCATATATATATATATATAAGCTTGTAAACCTTTTGCTCAACCAGCCAGGAAAAAGTTCCTTCTCTTTCCAAATAAGACTGGCTAGTTTGGTAGAAAATCCAGATGCTGTGTACCCCCTGTGCACACACAGGACAGGTAACACGAGGCAAAAGCTTTCAAGTCTGTCTCTTTGCCAAAGACATAGATTCAAGAATGCCCGGTAAAGATATTTGTGGAATGAGGAGTCCTTGGTGCTCTCTGAGCTTGATTGTTTTCTTGCAGATGTTTCATTGCCCAAACTAGGTAACGTCATCAGTGCTAAATCATTGGTGAGTAACACTGACGATGTTACCTAGTTTGGGTAATGAAACGTCTGCAAGAAAAGCTCAGAAAGCATCAAGAACCCCTCATTTCAACCCCGAGCTACAAATGATCTCCTTTATCAATATTTGCAGAAATATTATGCAGGAGAACTCCAGGGAGAGTCATCTCTAACCATCCATGCAACCCCTTTTTCGTGGTTGCCCCTGGCGGTGTTCAGAATTCGCAACTGAGACAAACTTCGAAAGCCCTGCCTGACTGGAAGGTTGGTGCTAATTCTTCAGAATCCTTTTTGCACAAAGATGGACGAAACTTTTTTTTTTTTTCCAAAAGCTCACGGGCAGAGCAAGCACGGGTCCGGCTTCTGCATTATGATGAATAAGTTGGGAAGCTAACTGTGATCCCATCCATTCTTCATTTGGCTGCTTGGGTGGCGAAATTTTACTTTTTAAAGCAGTGGGAATGAAAAACAAAACCGTTGTGCTTAATTTAAACGATAGGCTTGGGCATCATTTAATAGCATTTAATTTCTCCCTCTAAAATATTTGACGCTGCCCTCTTCCGGATGCTGCTCTTGAAAAGAAGAAAACTGGGTTCTTGGCTGCTTCCACTTGTAGTAAATCAAGGATTTCCCAACTAGGAGTAGCTGTCCCTAGAGAGAGAAAAGCCGAAATCTGGAAATAAAATAGGGACAAAGCTACTGCAGGTAGTTCTTGACTTACGACCAGGATTGAGCCCAAAACTTCCCTTGCCAGGCAAGATAGTTGTTAAGTGAGTTTTGCCCCATTTTACAACCTTTCTTGCACTGTTGTTAAGTGAATCACTGCAGTCAGTAACACGGTTGTTAAGTGAATCCGGCTTCCCCATTGATTTTGCTCGTCAGAAGGCCGTAAAAGGGGATCACATGACCCCGGAGCACTGCTACCGTCATAAACACGAGTCAAGCATCTGAATTTTGATCACGGGGATGCTGCCACAGTTGTGTGGAAAAACGGTCGTGTCACTTTTTTCAGTGTTGTCGTAACTTCGAACGGTCCCTAAAAAAATGGTTGTAAGTCAAGGACTACCTGGAGAGGGGAAAAGCTTGAAGTCCTGAAATCTGTTGAATAAAAATAAAATAAAGGACAGGCTTTCAGTGTTTGGTGAAAGCAAGCAAATTGGGCAGAAAGATTCTAGTCCAGTCTTCTTAATAATAATAACAGGCTTGGGAGGGACCTTGGAGGTCTTCTAGTCCAACCCCCTGCTCAAGCAGGAGAGCCTAAACAAGTGATGGCGAACCTTTTAGAGACCGAGTGCCCCAAAACTGCCCCCCCGCTCCCCTCCCTGCCTGCTCTACCCTCGCTCCACCCCATCCGCCTGCAGGACCACCCACCGCTTCCACGCCCTGCTGCAGATTGCCCAGGCGGTCCAGCAGTGCCATGGCAGCCACGCCCTCCACCCGCGCCCCGCAGCATCAATTGCATGTGACAGGCCACGAGGGCGGAGCCTTGTCCCCATTGCCCGACTGCCATGTCCTTGGCTGTGTTGTTCCAGGTGGGCCGCGCTCAGGGGTGACTCTCCTCCAGGGGGGCTGCTGGTGAGGAGGGGGGCGTAGGGGGAGGTGGGGCTGGGGCAACAGCGCATGTGCCCAAAGAGAAGTCTCCGAGTGCCGCCTCTGGCACGCGTGCCATAGATTCGCCACCACTGGCCTAAACCGTTTCAGACAAGTGGCTGTCCAGTCTCTTCTTAAAAGCCTCCAGGGGGATCTCCCTGCCATGCTAATTTTTCTTGGGGGTGGGGGGTTGGAGTGAACTTACAAATTATGTAATGGCACCTTGAAAGCCCTACCTTCCCATCTCCAATGTTTGGGAACAAGTTTTTCCACCTGATCTCCATTTTCTCAGACTCTTCTAGTCTTGGGACTTTGCTGCTTACCTTCAATTTGCCCTCTCCTTCAAAGGGGGGAATTCTGCTCAGGATTCCAGCTGGGGGAGAGGAAGGGAAGATCTGCTTCAAAAGATCTGAAACCTCCCTCCAGACATTGGGTGGCACACGGAGCAGGGCGCGACTCGGCCCAACGGTAGCCTGTTTGTCAACTCCACTCATCTTAAAATATCTAAGACGGCTTTCCTCCTGAACGGCTTTCCGTCTTGATACATAGAGCAGTGTCCCCTGTTGCTTTCGGTCAACAAGACCTTTGGCCAATATTTAGATCCCATATCCCTGACCAAAAGCCTGGGTGATTCCAAGCCAAATGCAGCCAACTGGCCACAGTGGGGTGGAGCACCTCAACTTGAAGAGCCTCCAAAATGTTGCCTAGCTGGGACTTCTGAAATCGGGTGGGGTGGGATTGAGAGGCATGATCTCTTGAAGGGACCTCTTGTTTTCAATTGCTGCAAACGATTATGCTGCCGACACGATGGGTAAACTTCACTGTAATGTGTTCGTCCGTTAATCGATGCTTTCAGGTGTTTTGGGTTTGGTGTGGCGTGCACATAGTTCTTTCTTCCTTTTAAATACATCACCAAAGACATCTTGTGGAATTTGTTAAATTTGTTTGGTTGTTTGTTTGGTTGGGGAAAAGGGATATTATCATAAGTGTTCAAACTAATAAGAATGTCTACAGATATGTATTTGTTAGCCTTCAGGTTGTAAATATTTATAGAAATGCTTCCCCCCCTAAAGAAAACCAATTTTATAATGTACTAGGGTGCTCCATACTTTGACTTTGCATCTGACCTCATTCTAAAGG